AACCCCAAAGTGGCTTCACTTGGGGTGTTGTTTGATTTCCAAAGTATCTGGGGATTTTCCAGATGGGCTTATAGTCTCGTGTCATTCCGATGAGAGCACTCTGTGTGATGCCATTGTTTTCCGATCCGTTAAGATTTGATTTAGGGCCCAGAACACAGTTTGTCTTGCTGAAGTCCCACACACCCTGGATGAGGAATGAGAGTCGGCTGGCGCTGGGTGGGGCTGATACAGCTGGGGGTTACACCGAGGGGACCCCGCCTGTCTGCGCCCTGGGCTGGCTCCCAGCCTGCAAGCCCTGCAACCCCTACCCCCAGGAAGGCTGTCCCAGGGTTCACGTCTTCTTATGCAGTTATTGACACTGGAGGGTTTTGTTTTAAGTTGAAAGACTGAGTTACACAGAGACAGGGTCTGAAGGGTGCACCATCTTACGGCTTCCTGGGGTCCCATGGTGTCACTCCTGCAGGTGACAGTTACCCAGCCCCTGCTAGGCTTCAGGTAGTCAGCATGCATCAGCCCCTTCAATACCAGGGGGTTGGTGTTGCGGCATAGCCACTTAGGACACCACATCCCATATCCCTGTGCCGGGATAAACCTCTTTGTTTTTTTTTTTTTTTTAAGATTTATTTATTTATTAGAAAGTCAGATATACAGAGAGGAGGAGAGACAGAGAGGAAGATCTTCCGTCCGATGATTCACTCCCCAAGTGAGCGCAACGGCCAGTGCTATGCTGGTCCGGAGCCAGGAGCCAGGAACTTCTTCTGGGTCTCCTATGCGGGTGCAGGGTTCCAAGGCTTTGGGCCGTCCTCGACTGCTTTCCCGGGCCACAAGCAGGGAGCTGGATGGGAAGTGGAGCTGCCGGGATTAGAACCGGCGCCTCCTGGCACGTTCAAGGTGAGGACTTTAGCCGCTAGGCCACGCTGTCGGGCCTAGGGATAAACTTTTTAAAAAAATCTTGAGAAAAGCAGTAGCCAGTGGGATGTCGACCACAGCAGTGTAGAGCGTAATCTGTAGCCAGCTCTTCCTCCCATTTTCCCTCCCTTGCTTCTTTTCTGAATGACAGATAAGGACAGAGAATCTCCCAGAACCCTCTTGCCAAAACCAGTAGCCATTCAACCCAGGTCTCCCGACTACTCAAGCTACCACCTGTGTCTTCCTGGAGCGCGCATCAGTGAGAAGCAGGGGTGGGCAGTGCAGCCAGGAAAGGAAGCACAGCACTGGAATGTGGGATACAGGTGTCTGGCCAGGATCCTGTGGGGACCCCAGCCCCATGGCCTAGCTTCTGGGGAAGACCCCACCAGCAGAAGCCCCTGGGGAGAGGGGTTGAGCATCGGTGAGACTCTAGGGAGGGCCTCTGTGGTCCCTTCTGACCACGTGCCCATCACCGCCTTGTGCCTCCTGGTCCTGCTCTGTCCGTCTGGAAGATGCTCTGATGTTATCCCTTGAAGCTGGAACCGTGAACCTGGCCAGCAGCGAGTACCCACCCACCCACACAGCCCAACCTCGGCCTCCAGGGCAAACCCGCGTTGCTTTCCCTGCACTGTTTTTCTGGGGAGGCCTGCAGAGAGGGCTTACCTTTAAGACCCCTAGGAGCAGCCCAGTGGTTGGGTTTTATTGTGATGGCTTCCTTCCTTAGGGCCTGGTGCAATGGCTTTCCTCATCTTGTAAGCAGCAGGATCCCCATAAGGGCGCCGGTTCGTATACCGGCTGCTCCACCTCCCTTTCAGCTCCCTGTTTGTGGCCTGTGAGGCAGTAGAGGATTGTTCAAGATCTGGGGACTCTGCACCTACATGGGAGACCCGGAAGAAGCTCCTGGCTCCTGGCTTTGGATTGGCTCAGTTCCAGCCATTGTAGCCATTTGGGGAGTGAATTAGTGGATAATCTTTTCCTCTTTCTTTCTCTCTGTAAATCTGATCTGCCTTTCCAGTAAAAAGAAATCTTAAAAAAGAAAAGAAAAATTGGGCCCAGCAGCATGGCCTAGCAGCTAAAGTCCTCACCTTGAACGCGCTGAGATTCCATATGGGCGCCAGTTCTAATCCCGGCAGCTCCACTTCCCATCCAGCTCCCTGCTTGTGGCCTGGGAAAGCAGTCGAGGACGGGCCAAAGCCTTGGGATCCTGCACCTATGCGGGAGACCTGGAGGAGGTTCCTGGCTCCTGGCTTCAGATCAGCATAGCATCGGCCGTTGCGCTCACTTGGGGAGTGAATCATCGGATGGAAGATCTTCCTCTCTGTCTCTCCTCCTCTCTGTATATCTGACTTTGTAATAAAAATAAGTAAATCTTAAAAAAAAAAAAGAAAAGAAAAATTGTCAGTCAAAAGACATCTGGAGCCTGGGGCAGGGTCCCAAGGCCCCCGCCCCTTGTCACTGTGTCTCTGCCTACTTTCTCTAGTTCCAGGACCCCAATCCCTTCTCCTTTTCCTCTCTCCCGTTTGTCTCAGCTAAGGAGCATCTGACACAACTCCCACTTTCAATACTGGCCAGTGCAATAATAATGTGAATTTTATCTGAAAGGCAGAGAAATATGCACCGATTTTTTTTTCTAGTCTCTGGTGCATTCCTCACATGTCCTCAACAGCTGGGGCTGGGCCAGGAGCCAGGACTTCCATCTGGCTCTCCCGCATGCATGGCAGGAACCCCAGAACTTGAGCCCTTGCTGCTGCCTCCTGGGGTATGCGTGTGCGGGGAGCTGGATCAGGAGCACATGTGGATGTGGGACATGGACGTGGCGGGTGGTGGCCATGCCTGCTGGATTGGATGCAGTTCTACACCTGGGTCCTTGTGAGAACAGAAGCAGGAGTCCACACGGAGATTTGTCCGGTGGCCATCAGAAGAGCTCAGCAGCGCAGACTGCAAACCCCTCGGGTGTCCATCAAGAGTTGCAACCATCTGTCCTATCCTACACCCAGCCGTGACAACCAACAGACTGCTGCCAGTGTGGTGGCACAGTGCATGAAGCCCCCACTTGCCACTCAGATGTTCCAGTACGGAAGTACTGGATCGAGTCCCAGCTGTTCCACTTCCAACCTGACTCCCTGTTAAGGTGTCTGGGGAGAGAGAAGAGGATGGCCCAAATGCTTGGGACCCTGCATCCACATGGAAGACTGGGAAAGACCTGGAAGAAGCTCCTGGCTTCACCCTACTGAGCCATGTGTGAGCTGCATGTGGGTGTGGACCAGCCATGGCTGGGCTGAAACATACAACAGTAAGACCCAGACTGGGTTGAAGGCCAGTCAGGAAAAGCCAATGTTCCTGATGGGAAGGAGGTGGACTAAGCAGGGCTGGCCCATGGATCCACTGGCTATGCACGAGGTCTGGCAATGGGAGAGATTCTGATGGAGGAGCCTGGGCAACTTCTCTGGCAGGACACAGACCCGGCAGGTGAGTGCAAGAAGCATGATAGGAAACAGCCCAGAATAGGCCATGGAAAGTTACCCACTGGCATACAATTGGCAGGGGTTGGGGGCAGACCAGGCTGAATCAGTTCACATCATCCACTGGCAAATCCAAGCACCAGAACAAGAGTGTGGGTCGAGCCAGGTTCGGTCACGACAAAAACCAGTGCACAATACAAAATGCCAAGGTGAGGTGACCTGTACCAGATGTGACCGCAGTGCCCAACCAGCATACGTGAGAACCAGGAAGGGAGGGTGTGGAGCTGGCAGGAGGAATAAGGAAGGCCCCCTGCCGGACGGCTACTCCCACTGGAGAGCATGAGCTGGGATGGGGGCAGACCAGACTAGGCAGGGCTACAACACCTGTGGGCCTCATGTGGACTAGATCAGGGAAAAGCCAGGCTGGGCTGACTGTTCCTACTGGTGCAAGCAAAAATTAGAGTGGGTGAGTGTTGGTTGGGCTTAGCCGCATCATCAGCTGGCAGAAGCTGGCACTGGGGGCTCATTCTGTCAAGTTAAACCACAAAACCACCTGGAGAGTGCATACTCTGGGAGTGGGAGTGGCCTAGGAAATAGTGGGATCCTCCATCTTGAGTTACAACTCCCACTGAAGGGCACGAAAACCAGGACAGGGGGCTGGGCTGGCTAGACAGAAAGGTACGCACCAGTATGTGGGTGGGCTGGATAGTGAGGCAGGTTAGGTTGAACTAGGCTTCAATGTCCATTGACATGTATGAAGGCTGAATGGGATGTGGGACAGACTGGACTAGTTTGCTACACATACTGGCAAACCAGGATAGGGTGGGAGACTAGGCTGCAGCTCCCACTGGTTTATGTGAGGGCCGAGTGTGTGCTGGGCAGAATCGGGCTGCACTGCAACACCCATTGGTTCCAGTGGAAGACAGGTCTGGAAGCAGAACTAACCCAGCAATTGCAACCACCAGCTGATTGGGGTGATGGGTGATGGACTGTGCCGGGCCCTGTACTTGCTAGTACACACAAGAATCTGGTTTGGGAACACATCAGACAAAGTTTCTTTGGGGATCTCCCCAATCGGACTGCTGGACTCAGAACCCTAACCAAGAAAAGACAGAGGACAGAACAAGTCAGTCAACTACCTCAGCCATGTGTTGGCAGCAAAAAACTGGGCAAATGGAGACTCTATGATGGACTATGTCAATCAGTGGATTCTTCAACGACCTCATCGTGCTTGTAGTGGCGAGATTTGCAGCAATTCATAACTGCTGAACTATCAAAACCTCTTGAGCAAGAACCTCGGAGCATGCCCCACATCAGGGACCTGGGATGGGTGGGAGACTGGGTGAGGCTTCCCCCTTTATCTTCCCTTTTACCCAAGATACATGACGTAAACAATGTGAAAATAATAGTCTTACCCACTTTCCTGTAGTCCTTGAACCTTTTTGCCCTAATCAACCTTGTAAAGAATGTCAAAAAATAAATAAAATTAAAAAACAAAGCTCCTGGTTTCAGACTAGTCCATCGGCCATTTGGGGAGTGAATCAGAGGGCAGAAGCTCTCTCTCCCACACTCTCTATAACTCTGCTTTTCAAATAAGTAGATACATAATTCTTTGGTTTTTTTTTTTTAATCATTCATGGCCAATGTGGCTTGTACAAAATTCAGAACTCTTCCCTAGGGAGCCCCGGCGCCAGCTGTCCCTCACAGGAGGAAAGGGAACGGCTCACTGCGGTTTTGGCATTCCCGACTCTGGGAAGCAAGAGCTGTTCTTCACCTGGTGCGTGTTCCCAGCCCCTCTCCTGGCCTGCCTGGGCTGGGCAGGTGTGAAGCTGCTCCTGGCCCCAGACCCTCTTCTGAACATGCCCCCAAGCCCACTCTCCCTTCCTCCTCCTCCCTCCTTGGCCACATGTCGTACAGACCACATTTATTTATCCAAGGTTTCCACAGGAACACAGGGCCTTCCTACATGCTGCCCTGGCCAGCTTGTTGGGCATGCAAAACAGCGCTGGAAGAGGCGTCGGGGTGTCCACTCTGTCCCGTACCCACCCCCAGCTGGGGTCCCCTGGGGCCCCTCAGAGTTCGGGGCCTTAGCCCTGTGTCTCAGATGCCCACACAGGGACAGTTGCCATCAGGCTACGTACTGTGCCTCCCACCTGTCCGGTCAGGTGGCCAGCGGGTGGGCGTGGCTCACCTCCCAGGTCCTGCAGGACAAGAGCTGGCCCTGAGAACCACTGGAGGCTGGTGAGGTGGGCGGGCTGGGCTCAGAGTTCCTGGCGGTCGCCTCTCCAAGGTGCAGAACGATTGGCAGATGCCGTCTCCTCCTGGAGGCCCCCGTGGCTTGCATCCAGACCCAGGGCCTGGGCTGCAGGTCTCAGTGGCTGGGGCTGCTACTTGAGGGCCCTGAGCACGGCCTCCAGTTTCATGGCCACCGCCAGGTCACCCTTCACCTTCAGCCGCCCACTCATGTAAGCCCCCAGGGGCCGTAACTCCCTGCACAAGAGGGCCCGCAGATCTGCCTCAGTGATCTCCACCACCACGTCGGGCACACCATCGGGCACACCGCGCCCCACCTTCCCTGGGCCTGTGGAGGAACGGGAGAGACAGCTCTGGCATATCCCATTGGGCGAGCTGCAGGGCACACATTCTTTGACCACTCAGTGCCTCAGGCTGCCCATCTGTGAAGTGGGAAGGCACCCAGGGTTCGGCACAGAGCCAGCCATGTGCTCTGGGTCCCTGCTAGAAGAGACCTGGCCTGAAGACTGGCCCTGAGCCCGACTACCCAGGATTCACCCCCGGAGTGGGCAGGGACCTGGGTGGGTCCGAAAAGTCTCTGGCAGTGGAGGTGGAGGTGGAGCACCCTACCTGTGCTAAGGTCGAGGAAGTAGATGCTCTGGGTGCCACCCGGCAGGCCGATGTTGAACTGGTAGCAGGCGCCGACCTGGCTGACCAGGGCCTCGGACAGGAAGGGCTGCAGGGCAGCCAGCAACCCCTCAGCCACGGGCAGCTTGGGGCTGGGGCTGGAGCTGGGGGCCTGCGGGGCCTGCGGGGCCTGCGGGGCAGGCGGTTCCACTTCACTCACCATCTCCAGGGTGTCTTCTGGGGAGCAAAGCATGGCGGGGTTGGGTGGGGTCACAGTGTGCTCAAGGCCAGGGTTGCCTTTTGGGCAGGGAGCAGGTTCCTCTTCTATCCCCTCCAAGCCTCGGTGGTACTTCTTCCTGTTCTGCTGCCCTTTACACTTCTGCCTGAACCCTCCCCAAACACTGTGGCTGGCATCCCCCGTCCACCCAGCCTCCCATGCAAAGTTCTTTCCAGTGCCTTTCCTGTAATTGTGGCTGCCCTCCCAGGGGATGCAGTCAGAGCCCTGTAGCCGTGACCTTAGCTCTGGCCAGCTATACCGTGGGTGTGCCTCCCTCCTTCCGAGCCATGTCCTCACCTGGCCCCGGGGGAGGGGTGCCTGCCCCCAGGATGTGCAAGGCCAGCTGCTGGAGGGTGCTGTCTAGGCTGGGCCCGGCTGGGCTGTCCTGTGGCGGCTGGAGCACTGACTCCACTGCCAGCTCCACACGGTCTACCTCCAGCCCCCAGGCTCTGGTCACGTCGTTCATTTCCAGCTACAGGTGGGGAGGTGTGGGGGACAAGGGAGCCACTCGGGTCAGCTGGAGGAGCTGAGGGCAGAGATGGGGGGGGGCCGTGCAGGAGCAGAGGGAGTGGGAAGGGGCCCTGAGTCCTAAAGGGTGAGAGAAGTAGCAGCAGGACCAGGACAGTGACCTGAGAGGGAGGCCAAGGCTGTCCCCAGGGGAGGTGAGGGACCTGTGGGCCAGTGAGACAGAGATCCCTGGGTGGGCTGGCCACGGTGTGAGCTGCCTCGGGTCCACAAATCTGGGAGAGGCAGGGGAACCTTCTAGAAGGACAGGGGAGGGGAGAAAGCCTGCAGGTACCTGGGGAACACATCTCTTCAGGAAGCAGAGAGAATAAGTAGAGGGAGGGAGGGAGCAGCCAGAGGGAGGAGGTGGCGTTGCACCTCCAGTTTCTTGAGCCCCTACTGTAAGCCCAAATGCTGGGAGCCACTGGGACCACAGCTTGGGTCTGCCCAGGAACTGCATCCAGCTGGCCACTGGCCAGTTCATGTGCTTTGAGGCTGCAGGGACCTCCAGGACTGGCACTGACCTCACTCCCTCCCTGTCCTTGAGTTCCAGCACCCCTGGGGAAAGCTTGTCCCTCCACATACCCCTCCACCCCTGGACATGCTGGCAGCAGGGCTGAGTGTGGCTGCCAGGGCTGGGCATGCCGGTGTGTGACCACTTCCACCTGGCCAGCAGCACAGAGTTGCAAGGTGCTTATGGGCCCAGCCCTTCAACACACACACATGGACATACACAGACACACATGCACACAAACAGCAGGCTGAGAAAGAGCTGGACATTCCCCAGGCCCTTTGCCCTGCTCGTCACAGAGGGTAAGACAGTCCCCAGCCGAATGCCTGGCTCCAGTCCTGGTCCCTCCACTTCCAACCCAGCTTCCTGCTGATGCCCGCCGGGGGGAGGCAACAGGTGATGGCTCCTGTCCTTGGGCCGCTGCCACCCATGTGAGAGACCCAGATGGCAATCCTGACTCCGCGGCTCAATCCCAGCTCTTGTCCTCGCAGGGAGTGAAGCAACGGATGGAAGATTCTTTGATTGCCTGTCTCTCTCTCTCTCAAATGCAAGAAAAATCCAAGAAGGGAAATAGAAAAACAGAAAACCACAGAGACGCCCCCTGCCTGCCTGGTACTTCCGGCCTCGGAGGGTAGGGCCCCTGGAGGAATCCTGAGGCATCACAGCAGGGGAGGTGTGTGGGCCTCAGCAGGCAGAGGCATGGCTCTGGGGGTTCCCAGGGGTACAGCCCCCCCCTTCACCTGCCTTGAGCCAGCCATGCCCAGGCTCTGGCCACACTCTGAGGGTGCCACATAAGGAAGCAGACGCCCCAGTATCGCTGCCAGCCCCCGTTCACCCCTTGCCAGGGCGCTGCCTCACCAGGAGCTGGTCACTGATCTTGAGCTTCTCCGTTTGGATCTCCCGCAGCGGCCGCTTGAGCAGGGCCTTGGTCATGGCGCTCTGGGCTGTCATGCGGGTGGCTGTGTTGAGGTCCCTCACGGTCATCACCGACAACACTGGGTCCCGAATGTGGAACTGCACGTCGGAGCCCACGGACAGCAGGGCCCCGTCCTTGGAAGCCAGCTGGTGTTACAGGGTGGGAGTGGACACTAGAGGGCTGCACAGGACCCTCCCACCTCCTCCCCTACCCCACCCTGACCCCACCGCTTCCACCAAGGTTGCTCTCTGGTAAGCCCCTGACCTTGCAGGGAGGGACGCTGAAGGCTCGGGTGCGCAGGTCCACCCTCTGGAAGGAGTCGATGAAGGGCAGCAGCAGGACCATGCCCGGTCCCTGGGGCGTGCGGAGCCGGCCCAGCCGGAAAACAACCATGCGCTCATAGGTGGGCACAATCTGTGCATGGCAGCCAAGTCAGGGACGGGAGGTGATCAGCCCAGACTGGCCAAAGATGCCCATCCACCCATCCATCTATCCAGGGCCCCTCCTCCTGGGCCTGTCCCTTGCCTCGACAACCAACAGGCTCCTGGGAGACACTCTATTTGAAGTTCCACATGACTCATGCCAGGTGACCAGCTGTCCCCGGAGTCAGCCAGGGAAGGGGTTGGGCTCTCCAATGGTACCCCTAGCCCGTCCTCTGTCCTTCCTTCTCCCCTCTGTGCCACCTCTTGGCCTAAGTCAGGCACCACCTACTGGGCCCTGAACAACCCCCCCCAAGAGGGTGACCTAGTCAGGACCTATGGGCATGGCTGGCTCCAGTTGGGGTGGGGAGCCTTCCTGGCTCCCGGGCACTGGAAGTGGGGTCAGGAGGCCTTACCTTCAGGGCAAACCAGCCGGAGATGGGAAAGGTAAACAGCAGCAGGAGGAAGCCCAGCAGGCTGACCAGGCCGTGGCAGAGGCAGGAGGGCCAGCTCTGGGGCACCTCTGGGGGCCAGAGGAGAGGCAGTTAGGGAATGCCAGCAGGTGCCTGGTCCAGAGCCCCTTCAGGGGGTCCTCCCTGCTCAGGGCCACCTGGAAGTGGTTCCTTGCCTGCAGTGTCCCTGTCCTCAGGCAGGTTACAGCTGGGATGCTCTCCTCCCCAGGGTCCAACGACCCCTTATCAAGCCTTATTCTCTACTGACCAATGGTGCTGAGTCTGAGACCCACACACAGGGTGCTGCTCTGCCTGGACCGAGTGGGGGGCTGACCCACTTGCCCAAGGCAGATGGCTGCCTGCCTGCCTGCTTACTCACACCTGGCCCCGGCCAGGGACACTCCATTTCTTCTCCACCTGCAACCCACAGGGGGGAAAGGGGTTTCTACCACCAAGAATCATTTCAATCCAGTCCACCAGGCTTGTGGAGGACAGGGCTAGGAAGCCCAACTGGACAGCCAGGCAGCCCTGGCATCCACCTGTCCAGGGAGCCCCCTGGGCTCGGGGACTCCTCAAGGCAGACCCAGAGTGTCCAGAGAAGGGTCCGTGTCCAGGCTGACAGGCACCTGCCTCTCCCCCCACTCTCCCAGGAGGGCGAGGCAGGCCTCCAGGGCACACCCTGCCTTCATGCATCTTCATCAAACACTGGCGGAGCTACCCTCTGCCCTCGGGAGCCCTCCTCCAGGGCGATTCCTGGGAAGCAGAGGGAGCCCGGGCATGCATGCATGCATGCTGGACGGCCCACTCACCAGCTCCCGGCCCCACGCCGCCCCGCTCCGGTGACCAGCAGCCTTTCTGTGAGCCCAGAAAGCCGAAGCTCGACTGCTGGAAACGGTCAAAATCCCCCAGCGGCAGCGCCCGGTAGCCGGACCTGCCCAGCATGGCTCTGGCTTGACAAGGGGGCGCGGCCAGCCCGGTCAGCCGCCAGCCAGCCCCTCACTCGCCGGCCCCGCCCTGCCGCCCGCCGCCGCTTCCGGTTTCACCGGCGCCCTCCTGCACTGGATTCTGCAGTCGCACAGCGCCCCCGAGCGCTGGGAGGACCAAACTGCGGACCTGGCCTGGGGGGCGTGGCCTCTTCCTCTTGGAAGTCAAGATTTGCACTGCTTGCTTGGAGAGTGGTGGCTTAGGCATGTCTCTCTTGCAGTAGTTTCTGCAGATCCCCAGAAGTGAGCTGGCTTGCCAGATGAGCACAGTCAGCCGGTCGCTGATGGCGTTAGCGTAGGGATGCTCTGTTAGGCAAGGAGACAGACGCTAGCCTAAGTGTTTGATAGGGGCCCAAGGCAAACAAAGGCAGCTATTCTGGAGACCTCAGAAGCACATCTTGGAAACAGCCCAAGTCTTACTTCACCCCAATTACTTTACCAACGGTCTCACCCTCCCTGTCGTCCCTCAAGGAAGATGTCTTGGGGGAGTCTGCTCCCTAGCCTGGTGACACCAGGCGGTAAGACCTTGGCAGAGATTTCACCACCAGCAAACACTTTGTCCAGGAGAAGTGGAAGGGGCTGGAGCAATGGTGGGGAGACCTGGACTGCATTCCTTTCTTTAAAAAAAAAAACATTTATTTATTTGAAAAGCAGTTACAGAAAGAGTAGGAGAGACAGAGAGCTCTTCCATCCACTGGTTCACTCCCCAAATGGTCGCTGGAGCTGAGCTGATCTGAAGCTAAGAGCTTCCTCCAGGTCTCCCACGCAGGTGCAGGGTCCCAAGAGTCTGGGCTATCCTCAACTGCTTTCCCAGGCCGCAAGCAGGGAGCTGGATGCCAAGTGTGGGAGTGGCAGCCATACACCACCCCCACACAGGTAAGATGGTACAGCTGTGGTGGTCTTTACAGAGAAGTCACCACACAGGTATACTGAATGTCTTCATTTATTGGCAATCATGCACATGCTTATTATATAGGATGGGGCAAGAAAAACAATCCTCAGGGGAGCAATAGCAATTCTATAGGATGGGTATAAGTACATATCATGCATGACAAGCCTAGCCAATCAGCTTAAGGTCACACATTTCTCTGGCTGGCACCGTGTGACCTGCCCACATCCTGAAGTTGTTTTTAACAGAACAGCTTACCAGAAAGAGTGGATGGAGGAGGGAAGTACCTTGGAATCCCTGGCCTCCTGCCAACCATGTAGGCTGCTGGTGGCCTTGAGGCTTGGTGTGCCGGGGCCCCTCAGGAGATGGTCCTGGGGACACGATTTGTCATGTACCTGTGACCCTTCGTGCAGGTCAGTTAGGCAGGACCCATTGAGGCACTGGCTCCCCCACTTTAGAGCATCTCTCCCCATGGCTTTGGATGAGTGACCTCCATTGGTACAGCCTCAACCAATAGGACTGCCTTCCGCTCAGTATGTTTAAGTCAGACAAAAATTAGATTTTAAATCACAAACAAAAAATTCACGAGTGACAGTTACAGTCATAATCAAGGCATATGGATGAAACCAAGATTTTACAAGTCCCTGTCAGTCCTTAAACAAAAGGACACTCTGGTAGAATTAAGGATCAAAATTTCTTGGGTCAAGGTAAGTAAAGATGGAGGATACTGGTCATTCCAAGGGCCACATATATAAGCTGACAAGTTTTAGTAGTCAGCTTTCCAATGCAGAACTGAAATATTGATTACACAAATAGAAGTAAAGTGCACATCACAATTTAACCTGACAACCTGCCATAATAAATCAATCTCTTCTTTTTTTTTAAATTTTATTTCATTTTATGACACAATTTCATAGGCTCTGGGATTCCCCCAACCCCGCCCCATGCTCTCCCGGCACAGTGGATTCCTCTACCTTGTTGCAGTATGATTCTTATGTATCAAGCATAGAGTCCAGCATCTTATTGTCCAAATAAATTCAACAGCTTCTTGGGGAGACCATCTCTGATCTGAAAGCAGAGCTGGCAGAATATCATCCCATCCAATGAAAGCCACAATACAACATCAACAATTTACAACACTATGGAGTTGGGCCCGGCGCGGTGGCGCAAGTGGTTAAGGTCCTCCCCTTGCACGCCTGGGATCCCATATGGGCGCTGGTTCTAATCCTGGCGGCCCCGCTTCCCATCCAGCTCCCTGCTTGTGGCCCGGGAAAGCAGTCGAGGTCGGCCCAAAGCTTTGGGACCCTGCACCAGCGTGGGAGACCTGGAAGAGGCTCCGGGCTCCGGATCGGCATAGCATCGGCCGTTGCGCTCACTTGGGGAGTGAATCATCGGACAGAAGATCTTCCTCTCTGTATATCCGCCTTTCCAATAAAAAATAATAAATACATCTTTAAAAAAAAATAAAACCCAGTGTTTAAAAAAAAACAACACTATGGAGTTAATTGACATAGTATTGAGTGACCAATATGCTAGAAAATACAAGTTCTTAATCACATCCTGTCACTACTTCATTGACGTTCCAATTTTCATTTATATACAACCGGCTGCTATACACCTTAAAATGGCTATAGGGTACTATTCAGCTGTCTCGTGTCTAATCAATCTGTTCCTGATGGAGATCTGGTTCCTGCTGTCGCCACAATGGCTGCTTTCACAAGTCGGTTGACCTGGTTTTGTGTAGAGAGAGGAGCGACAGTGAGTTGGGTGATAGTATTAACAATCTCTGCCTTCTGGATGGGTTGGATCAAGGCTACTGCAGCAGTGCCAGCACGAGCAATGATGGCAACGATGGCAAAGATGATAAGTCTAATTTCCCTTGTAGTCCTTTCTTTTTTTTTTAATTATAAATTCACTTTATTTTTGATGATGTTTACATAGTTGAGAGGGAGCACGCCCTTGTGGACCACAAATTTGGGTGGGGAGGGTCAAGGGATGGGGGAAAAGTGGATGAAGCAACTGCTTCCAATCTCCTTTTTTGTTTTCCTGATATCTGGAAAAACTGGAGAGAGAAGGGGAAAGAGCTTCTCCCAGCAACCCAATCACATCAGCACCCAGGAAGGGCAGAAGGCCCCTGTTGTCATCCCAGGGTCCCCAGCAGGGGTCTCGGCCGAAGACCACCCACCCAGGTAATATGGTAGGCTGCATTCTTTGTGGATAAGCACCAGAGATGTTATGGTGAATTTGTCTGTTTATTAGCAACTAAGCACAAGCTTATAGAGGATGGAGTGAGGAAGAGAAATCTCCAGGTAGCAGCACCAATTCTATAGTGTATCAATACATATATGCATTACAAGCCTAGCCAATCAGTCTTAAGGTCATGTACATAGCACATCTTGAAGTTTGTAATGAAATGGGTTTTTGATAAGTGTAGGTGGGAAGAGGAGATCACCCAGTTACCAGGAAAGGTAGAGGAGGGAGATAGGTATGCCGGGGAAGGTGGCCTTCTGCTAGATGAGTGTCAAGACCTGGGGACCTCCAGACACGTGCCTAGTCCCAGGAGTCTCTAGGTACATGCCACGGCCAGGGGTCTCTAGACATACTCTGAAGCCTTGGCATCTCTAGGAATCTGGTGATTCCTGGCCCTTAACATATGCTAGGTAGAATGATACCCACCTGGGCACCAGCTCACTCACAGGCCCTGATGCGGAGCACACTGCTTAAGTGGTTTTGATAATTCTGAGATGTTGATTCCATTGTTCCAAAGTTGAGGGAATCCTTCCAAAGTTCATTGGCTAACACAGACCATCTTAGAGTCTTGATTCTCCTAGTTACTTGTCTCAGAGAGCTATCCGATTTCTTCTGCCCTCCATAGTACTAAATGTCTTCTGCAGGCCTCAATGAACTGGTTGTCATGTCTCCCGTGCACATTTGGGCATGCTGTCTACTGCACAAGCCTCAGCAACCACGGAGACCCAGTTCTGACACGTACGCTCCATGGTCAGACCATCAAACCTGTCATTTTCACCATGATTGGAGTTCTGAGTCCAGTGATCCAGTTGGGAGGTCCCCAAGAAATCTCTCCAGAGGTGACCCCAACCTAACTCCTGTGTGTGCCATCTCAGCCTGTCACCCACATCAGCCTACGCACGCATTGGTGGCTGCAGTCACCTGGTCAGTTCTGTTCTCTGCCCATGTCATACATGAACCAATGGATGCTGTGGCCCAGCCTAACCCTTCTCACCACACACTCAGCCCTCTTGTCTACCAGTGGGAATTGCAGCCTTTTTATCAGAGACCCCCAGTAATCCCCACCAGGCCCATCCTCAGCGTGGTTCCTGTGCATGCCACTATGTGCAGCAGATTGGTCTAGTCTATTCCACATCCCATTCAGCTCTTGTACACATCAATGGGCATTGAAGCCTAGCTCAACTCAACCAACCCACTATCCCAACCCATACTCAATGCAATAGATGCAACCACCTGTGTAGCCAGGCCCGCTCCCAGCCCTGACTTTTATGCTCATCAGTGAGAGTTGCAATCCATCAAAGAAGTGTCCATAGATTCTTTACTAGGCCTACTTCCAGCCCCAGGTCTTGCACTTTCCAGGTGGTTTTATGGTCTAGTCTGTCAGGACTTGCTCCCAGTCCCAGCACTTGCCAGATGACGCTGTGGCAAAGCCCAGCCAGTCCACACTTATTCTGGTTCATGCTTGCACCAGTGGATGTGGTTGCTTAGCCCAGCCTGGATTTCCCCCTAACCCAGGTCACATTCAGGCCAATGAGTGTTGTAGCCCTGTCCAGCCTGGTCTGCCTCCCATCCCAGCTCTCATGCTCACTAGCAGGAGCAGTGGCCCAGCAGGGGAGTCCCACACCTCCAATTCTGGATATTGTGTGTGACGGTGGGAGCTACAGCCCAGATTGACATGGTTCTCCTTACCTCAGCAACCACCAACGTGTGCTGTAGCTTGGTCCAACCCAGCCTTCCTCCAGTTCCAGTTCATGCTGGTGGATGCTGCAGCCCAGCCCAGCCAATCCAGGCCCCAGTCCTAGTCCTAATGTGAACTGGCTGGTGTTGTAGCCCAATGCAGCCTGTCCT